TTTCAGACCCTGCAGCACATGCGTGTCGTGTTCGGTTTTTTTTTTTCCCGCCGCGTGCCTAGTAGTAGTAGTAGTAGTAGTAGTAGGCGTAGGAGCAGCTGTAGCAGTAGCAGTAGCAGTCGCATTCATCTATAGCAGTAACAGTAGCGGCGCGGCAGCGGGAGCAGCAGTAGTAATGAGAACATGTACCTAAAAATCGCACGCTCAAGTCCTAGTTGTAGTGCGTGCTGACTGCCCAAGTGCAAGTGAATCGCCGAGGGTGGCCCTACAACCCATTTGCAAGTCCCTTTGTGTTCCCTGGAGTCCCTACACGCCAGGCCTGTGTCTGAGAAATCCCCAAATATGAACAACGTGGCTTATCATGCTGGTTAGTAGGAAGTTAAGGGAAGAATATCGGGATTTTTTAAGGGGTCATCTCGGGACTACTATACAGATCTATTCCTGAGTTTCATCAGTAAGTCATTGTCAGACTTCCAGGTGGGGTGCTGGAATGGCTTCGAAGCTGGGATCCACTGTGAGAAGCAGTTTTTGTTTGTTTTTTTTTGGGGGGGGTTGGGTGGGAGGGTTGTGTATTTCAGGGGTTTAGGGACATGAGGAAGAGATGATGCGCAGTAGCATTTTAAGGAAGGTTGTGAATCCCATACTGCAGTACAGCGCGTCTGCAAATTTGTACTCCAGAAATGCCCAAACCTTAAACATCCCTAAAGACCTGCAGAGTTATATGACCCGTATATCCCCTTTCAAGGGGTTCCCCGGATGTTGGAAACAGCGAGATGCAGCCAGGAACCATAATCCATGCATCCGGGCCCCAACAAGACGTGCTGGACTTGCCCTCAGTTGTGCGGGGGTTCGGAAAACTGGTCCCTTGAAAGGGGGTGTAGGGGTTGCAAAGAGATTTCGGGATGTACAGTGCTTGGGGGCCTTCTGTTTCATGGAAACCCCCCTGTGGTTGCTGCAATGGAGCTTGCCAGAATTCATCGGGTGCCAAATCATGGGTCTCTTCTTGGAAGCTCCCGCATAAGGTTGATGCTTGTTGGGGAGCAAAACAAGGACACCTTCACTTGGAGAAAAACATGAACTACAGGAGCTCCGGTCTGGGCATGGCTTTCAAGGAGACTGTTATCATGCTTGCAGGATTGCTGCAGAGATGCTACCCCTAAGCCTCTTTGCAGAGTGGCTGGCTGGCATGTTGTGTAGTTACAAGTATGCTTACTAATTTCAGTTCCTCAAGGGGGTATGTACTGCGGGAATCTTAGGGAGCCTTGGAAAGTTTTGGGAAGGATTGCCTCCTTGCCTGCGGTCAGAGTTCAAAAGGACGCACTCGCAAATTTGGGCAGGATTGGGGAATATTGGGAACAGCTATCTACCCCCACCGGTACTTCATGGCAGCGCTTGAGCTGGAATTTTATCAGTTGGCACCTGAGGACATGATCGATCACAGGTTGTCTCCTGAGGACCGAGGCCGGGGGGGAAGCATGTCTATGTGTATATTGGTCTGGTGGCAGTGGATCCTAGAGTAGTCCCTAAATCCCTCATAATACTCCCCACATTGCATTATATGGCATTCTAAATTCTAAGCCCTAGGTACAGTAGTTTCCTTTATCTTTCCATTCCCTCCCACTCTACGTACCCCACTCCACGAACCACCAGCATGTCTGCTAGACATTGTGGCCACTTCTAGCAGGCACATCCCTCCGGCCTCGCCAGCAGAGAAGATTTTCCAAGACCACTGGACTGCGTTGTGACCCCATCTCAAAGGCTCCTTCCTACAATGTCTGTCCTAATTTGACGTTCCTAGGAATCTACCCTGTGGTTTCTTGTAGCTGCATCGGCCGGCATCCTACTTTGTTGTGCGCGAGTTGCAGGGTGATGAGCTGAGCATCAGAACGAGTAATTAGCTGCGGACAGGTGCGAAAGAGAAAGTACCGCCATGCCTGTTGCAGTACGAAGCAGCCCGGCGGTATGCGTGTCAGAGAGTCCGTGTGAGCAGCTAGGAATTGTCACTCAGGATCCCAAGTATGCCATGGATATCGGTGATCGGCCTGCTCACCGTATGGACTGCATCACAACTCCAAGGCTGTAGGAGAAACGTTGGTAGGCAAAGCGGCGCATTGTCCGCAAGCAGTGCAGGCCGGTGCAAGGCTATTTCCGATGCGGCGTTTGTGCTCAGTGCAATCAGTGCTGCAAATGCCTTGTGAAGCGGAACGGCCAGTCACTGGGGCGCACTTACTTACCAAGTGTTTTGTGTTCCTAGGCTGACGCGTCGAGGTGGGGATTTAGTCATCAGTGATTCCCGCAAGTCCAAGGCAGAAGAAGGAGTACTTCCGTGCCTACTCTTGAACTTACCTGTCTCACATGCTCTTCCAAGTTCGGGAACACTCTTGCTGCCAAAGGCTCAGACATGACCTGAGGTATGCCAACTTGTGAGTGAGCAGGGCCTGCAATGTTGATGCTTCTTGTACATTCTGCTCTTTCGCTGGTGAATGATTGGCCCCAGCAAGCAGGGCGGGAATGAGGCAGAAGTCGGAAAACGAGGTGCAATTTTGCCACTTGAAGTTCAGAGACAATACAGCGGCATGCAGTACATGGGAGGTTTTGGATTTCGTTTATACACCGCCCTTCAAGGGAAGCATGGAAACCTCAATGTTGGCATGTACCCGCATAAACACCTGGCCTCGCAAGCGACGTGACGTTTTTCTTCATTCCTTCGTTTTCCGCAAGACTATAGGATGATAACCCGAGCCCGGAAACACGGAAGCTAGAGCTAGCCTTAAGAGTCGCACGAGGTCATAGACACCAGAACCTGCGGGCTTAGGCTACCAAACAAAAATCCCTACTTCCAGAAGCTCATAAAGAGCAGCCAAGACACTATACCCTAAACCCTAACCCCCCAAAAAAAATAATCCCAAAGTATAAAGCCCTTTGCTCCGAAGGACTCGAAGCTTAGGGGGCCTTGCAGCGGCTTCGGCAAATGTCGTGGCTGCAGACAAGAAGGCAGAGTAAGGGGAACTTAATGAGACGCTGGGGGTATACTGGGCTTACCGTATTAAGGGGATATAAGGCAGCTATATATAGCTTTCGAATAGCTATTGCTTACGTCCAGGTTCAAGATAGAGTTTCGGTACTTGGTGGCAAGATACATTCTTGTTCTAGTTGTCAGCAGCATTGCGCGGGGTGGTGCATCAGGCCGGCAATTTCGGGACCCCCCGATCCCCACAGCAATCTGCTCGATCCACGGCGTGGCTTGGCAAAATGGAGGGTGATTCATCATGTTTCAAAGATTCTTGCCTGACCTTGGTATACTATACCGTCCGAAGTTTAGGGCGCCCAGGAGACATGCAGCATGTTTTGCATCAACTCAGCCGTAAGGTTTCTGAAGAATAAGAAGCGCAAGACAGCTCCTACTAAGCCTACTTTTCAAATTCTTTGTTACGTGCCCGCAAGCTGTTCCCAATCGCTGGAGCAGTGTCAATTCACTCGCACTCATTGTTTGAGTACACTGCAGCCCACCCCAAGACCGCGTTTGCCTCGTTTGTACCGTTATGGCAGGGTAGCACCGTCCGATGTGCGGAAGGCTATATTATATTGAGTTTCAAGCCAAGTTGAAGGAACTCAGGAGCCTAGTTTTACAACAAGTTGTTTGTCAGTTTGCTGCTGAATTATGCCCGAGCTTGCGTAACCTGCAACCTCAGTATTCTGTACAGCATGAGTTGTGTTCAGATCTGCGTGGCGTGCAGTGAATTTATGAACGCTAGACTTGCCGAGTGTGCAGGGGGGGGGGGGGGGGTNNGGGGCGGCCAAAAAATGCATTTTCAAGGTCACGCCCAATCCGAGCTAATGTGCCGACGAGGCGCGTCATGCGTGGGTTGATGTGCTCAAAGCATCTCAAAGCAGCATTCCCTTTGCTACAGGAGTCCACGCAATCAAGAGCTTCAAACACAGGAGCTGCGTTTGCTGTGACCGTTGCGTGTCATTTTCCACGGTCGCTTCTTGATCTTTTAAAGTGGGCGCGATTGCTTTGACACACCGCCGTTTGTGTTCCAATCATTTGGAGGAAAAATTGCTTGGCCACATGCTGCCTCCACAGTGAAGGCCTTTCAGGCTGAGCCTGTTCAACCTGTTGAGGACGTATTCGCCCAGAGGATATGCGCTGTTTCGTTACTTGCATATAGCTGATCGCAGCATTTGCACGCGTAAAGGTAGGTCTTATGTAACCCCAACTTGTAAACGTCCACTGCCTGGATTTTGTAGTCGTGTGCAAGTTTTTCCAGAGTTGAGCCTGGTGAGCACGCAGCGCATTGAAAATTGTCCCTCAGCAATTGATGCCAAAGGTTCCTTGTATGCGCTGATGTAAAGCTCGCATGAGCTCCAGGGATTTGTTGCACTGAATTTTAATTAGGAGTCCTTGCCAAGCGAGATGTTTTGCAGGTTAGTAGCGCCTGCGGTTTCACTTGCCCTAATGGGCACCTCGGGGTAACAGCAGAGCTTCGTCTCGAGCACAGGGAGCTTCATGGACTGCTCAAAAGATTTGCCTCACCATGGTCCCAGAGAAATCGCCCTTAAAGGAGGTGAAAGAGTAGGGTTTAGTTTCAGAAACTGTTTCATATACGATGGTTTGCGATGGTTTGGTGAGGATGGCCGTTGTACTTTGACAACGGGAGCTTTTAATCTACGTTGCCATTGCCAATTCGCAGCATTTAGCATCAGACAACCACAATCTCGGAGGGACCGTATTACATAACATCTTCCACTGCACCAGATCAAAATCCTGTTGTAATTTGATTTCATCAGTCAAACCCTTAGATGCCCGAACTGTTGCGATGCTTGCGTGTCCTCTTTCGACCTGCTGCATGTTGTCACCAATCGTGCAAATACGCAATTTTACGGTCCTTACCACGCATTGGTATGCCCAAAATGTAGCAACGCGTTGCGACTTGTGTGCGCATTCCCAAGAAAGGATCATATCATGCAGCCCAGAAATATGTCCAAGGCCCCCAACAAGAGGACCATTGGTTTGAGAATTGTTCTGTGACAAAAACCCGCTGAATTCATTCAATGCAAGGGTTAGGTAGATGGCAGAAGCCAGCTTTGCCGCGCAGCTGATAGGTCGCCAGCTCAGCTTCTGGACCTTTGCTCACCTAGAGTATGGAGTGCAATTTTAGGGTCCATGAAAATTTCAGTTGGTTTCCGAGGCCTTGCGACGTTTTTTTGATTGAGATGCGTTTTCGAGCCAGTTCCATGTAAAGATTGTTGTGTTCATGTCCAGCAAGATACTAGGAACAGTGAAATAATAGGATCCCTTTTCCTCAGAGTATGAGATTCCACCCATGTGTCCATTCGAGCAGATTGCACACCTTGCTCCATGGCCTGAAGCCGCAACACGCTTGAGTTCGGGTTTAGGGTTGACTGTTGTTTGGGAGTGCCCCTGACCGCGCAGACTGCGCTAATAACATGACGGGGTCTCTTGACATTTCTGAAGTCTGATGAAGATGCAGAACGCTGTCCGACGGCAAGCTGATGAGCAATGCTTTCAGGAAAAACATTTTTCAGCACAAGCAATAAACTGAACATCTCACAACGGATTTTCCCAACACTGACCTCTCAAGGACAAAAAAGGCTGCTTTTGTTAGCAAGCCCGGAACCCTAGATCCCAAACCCATCCTAAACCTAGTTCCTTCATACTGAACAATTCGTGTTTGTGTCTTCGGCCAGGCATAGAACGGCGAACGACCCGATGTTGGGAGCCGTGAGCTAAACTCTTGTTGTTCCAGTACCCAGGGCGATCTGGAACTGCAGCAGTTGAACCTTTGACGAAGGAATACCCCATGGTGGTATTTGAAAGGAGTGTTCTTAAAAGAGTCCATGTGAGCTTTGGCCATGTTCGTTTACGCTCACAGAGCCCTCAACTGGTCATTGTGGATTCCATATGGCGATCTTAGTTTTCGTCGGAAAGATCTTTTTTGGGGGTGGCCCAATATGGTTCAGTGTCTGCGCCTAGGTACGGCAGCGTGTTCATTCCAGATGCCGATGGTTGCGATGAGGCAGGGCTTGAGATTGTTGCATCCGACTGCCATGGAAAGGAATGGCCCCGGTTGGGAATTATTCCAATCCGGTTGAAGACAGGTCATGTTGTGGCTGTTTGCGTACGAAGAAATTCAGTTGAGGAGTCGCTGGGCCTCAAATCTCAGACCTTGAATTTGTGCTTGAAGATTGCTGTGCAAACCTGTGTAGGTGAGAGCCCTTAAAGCTGTGCATTTTGGGACACGATTTTCGTGGTTCCTTTACCACTACCTTCTTTGGGCTACCTCTTCAGTAGGGCAACTTAGACAATCAGGGTTCGTCAAGGCTACATAAGGGGCAACTTAGGGCCGGTAGTAATTCTTGGCGCGCGTGGTCCGGAAACCCATGAGATTTATTCGCCAGCTGCAGGACCCTACAACAGGCAAGTGTGTGCCATTGGGCAGTGTCCAAGTGGCCACTTGGCGTGATGGGAGTTTTACGTTTGGAAGTTCAAGGTGATTTGAATCTATTTAGAAATCTATCTACAGCCTGGTTACATAGCTGTTGTTCTGGACTCACACGTGGGTTATAATTATAGCCACGTATTAAGCAGTTGATGATTACCTTGGACCTCCAATTGTTTGTCGAGTCGTTCCTAACAATAGGGTGGTTTTCGGATGTTCCTACAGTAGGATTCATCCGTTTTAAGTGGATGCAAAGGGATCCCATGTCTGCTACAAGTAGAGATCAAGGGCAGCTGGCTTGGGTTCGAAGAGTGGAAAGGCCAGGACGCATGCCATATTTGTGTTGTCATCAGAATTGATATGCTAACGGTGCGAGTTCTCCAGAGGGGGCGGGTCGGCCAGGAAATTGGCGCCAGGCACATAGAAGTGGCGTTAGGTTTGGTGTGTTTTTTTCTGTTTGCCGCTACTAGGTGTGCTGCTACTTCTTTTTTTTTCTACGCTCGGGCCTGTTAACGACAGTCCAGAGGACCTTCACCCCAACAGGCCATCAGTCTTTGGTTACATTTCCTTGAAGCCTTTTTTTTGCCTCAATGCAAGAAGCCTTGTATAGAGGTCTATGGCAGAACAAACGCCTGCAGTCACATTGTGGGATTTAATGGCTCGTGTAGAGTGTAGACATTTTGTTGTTCAGCAGGGGTCTCGTCGGGTAGGCTCCGAAGTGATTAGGAACGGCTTAGAAATATGCTTCCTCGAAGCTTGCATGAATTTGAGACCTTGAGTCTTGAGTTGTATTAGGAACAAAATCCACTGAAAGGTCTGAAGGAAAATAGCGTAGTGCCTGGCAAGTGCTGCGTGACAATTTTCCTGTAGCTGCGGAACAATTTCCTGGTAGTTACCGTAGTTGTTTTTTCCTGTTCTTTTCGTGGAACACACTGGTTGCAAACACAGCCCTGAAAGCTAAATTGGC